TAAGTTTACCTTGCGGTGGTGCAAATATCTCACTTGTGTACCTTACTTTTTTTTACTTTCTCGAATACGAAGTAGAGAGAAAGTAAAGTAATCGTGCAAAAAAAAATGAACCGGGAGTGATTTCCCAAAAACATTCTCGAATATTCTTATAGAACACTACGGCAACTCGGGATATAGACATGATTTTTAATCCATTTTTAGTTACTTAAACTTTTTTAAATAGAATAGAATCTTGTAGAAAACAGAATTGCATACCAAGTGAACGTCAAGCAATATGTGTATAATATTGCGGAATATTATAAGTAGGCCTACTTTATATCCAACCACACATGCTTTTTTTTAGAAATCGGAAATAGCGTAAATAACTACTTCCTTTCAACGGAAATTACTCAAACATTTGATAAAAGGCAGAGAATTATATCTTTTACGTACGTGTGAAATTTTATTTATCTATACGAAACGGTACTCAAGTTATAGCCTTTTGAAAAATTGAAATTAAAATAATGTTTTCAGCGATTTTCGGTAAAAGAAAATGGACTTCTTTTTAACGGAAATTGCTGAAAAGTTGATAGAAAACTACAAATTTGATATAATACTTATACATGAAATTTCATCAACCTAGCTGTAACGGTACTCAAGTTATCGTGTTTACAGACACACACACACAGACACACATACACACAGAAATACGGACAAGATTGCAAAACTATGTTTATCCGACTTAGGGAGCTGTAAAACGTCGAGATTTGGAAAAATCTCGATTTTTACTTAAGAAGTATAGAGAAAGTCTTGTAGTCACTGATACGGAAAAACATAATTTTGCAATCTTGTCCGTATGTCTGTGTGTGTAAACACGATAACTTGAGTATCGTTACAGCTAGGTTGATGAAATTTCATATATAAATATTTTATCAAAATCGTAGATCCGTATCAACTTTTGAGCGATTTCCAATAACCGGAAGTGGTACTTTTTCTACTTTGAATTTTTTAGTACTATTTCAGATGCATAAATGAAATGTCACATGTAAGTAAAAGATCTAATTCTCTACCTTCTGTCAAATTATGAGTAAATTCCGTTGACCGGAAGTACTAATTTAAGCTATTTCCGATTTCTCAAAAAAAGCATGTAAATTTATAAAGTACTAATAATATTGCGCACTATTATGCACATTTTGTTTTGGCGTTCGCTTGGTGCGCAATTCTTTTTTCTACTAGATTCTATTCTATTTTTACAAGCTTTTATTTAACTCACTTCCTCGTCAGTCTGTCTAGACCGAGGCGCCGGAGTGAAAATTCGGACACTTTCACTTCACCGATACGATTCACACTTGGCAAGTGGGTCAAGACATGAAGACAATGCAATCTGAAATTAAATTTGACTTAATTGGATGCCTAATTAATTTTTTATGAATTAATTAAAATTTGAACCGAATTAGTAGGCATGTCTATCCAACCACACCACACGCGTCATCATGTTCAATAGCTGCGCCATCACGTTCAATCACTTTCAGTAGGCGCGCAATGGTTTTTAGTAATGTAACTCTATTGTAAATAAAACATGTAAAGTACTGAAAAAATTCATTAAAAAAACGTTTTAATAACAAGCTTTTATGTAATAATGCACTAAAAAGTAGAAAATAAATTATAGAATACTATTTAAATAACTATAAAGAAAAGCGTGGGTGTCTTCCTTAACATTAGTAAAGGTATCCAATAGATACTAAAGTGACCCACGCTTTTCTTTATAGTTATTTAAATAGTAGTCTATAATTTATTTTCTACTTTTTAGTGCATTATTACATATAAGCTTTTTATTTAAACGTTTTTATGAATTTTTTTTTACAAGCTTTTATTTAACTCACTTCCTCGACAGTCTGTCTGTCGTCAGTCTGTCTAGACCGAAACGCCGGAGTGAAAATTCGGACACTTGCACTTCACCTATACGATTCACACTTGGTACGTGGGTCAAGACATGAAGACAATGCAATCTGAAATTAAATTTGACTTAATTGGATGCCTAATTAATTTTTTATGAATTAATTAAAATTTGGACCGAATTAGTAGGCATGTCTATCCAACCACACGACACGCGTCATCACGTTCAATAGCTGCGCCATCACGTTCAATGGCTGCGCCATCACGTTCAGTAGGCGCTCAATGGTTTTTAGTCATGTAACTTTATTGTAAATAAAACATGTAAAGTACTGAAAAAAATTCATCAAAAACGTTTTAATAACAAGCTTTTATGTAATAATGCACTAAAAAGTAGAAAATAAATTATAGACTACTATTTAAATAACTATAAAGAAAAGTGTGGCTGTCTTCCTTAACATTAGTAAAGGTATCCAATAGATACTAAAGTGACCCACGCTTTTCTTTATAGTTATTTAAATAGTAGTCTATAATTTATTTTCTACTTTTTAGTGCACTATTACATAAAAGCTTGTTATTAAAACGTTTTTTATGAATTTTTTAAAAGTTTAAGTAAAAAAAATCATGTCTATATTCCGAGTTGCCATCCCACGTAGTGTTGTATTAGAATATTCGAGAAACTTTAGGGGAGATCACTCCCGGTTTATTTTATTTTTTTGCACTATTACAAGACTTTCTCTATACTTGGTTATATACGAGAAAGTAAAAATTCATTAAAAATCTAGCCAATATCCCGAGTTGCCATCCCCCGTAGTGTTATATAAGTATATTCGAGAAAGTTTAGGGAAGATCACTCCCACTTTATTTTAGAAGCGTTGCTTATTGTGGACGTGTGTTAGAGGCAAGTATTGGAAAAATTATATTTTACACGCTAATAGTACAATACATAAGCATAGACATAATGTCGACACCAATCTCTTTCATCATGAGTTGCGCACCAACTCTGGTCATCAATGCAGTTCTTGACTTTAAGTGTAAAAACACGAAACGGTAAAGGCACAAGAAAATTTCCTCGGCAATTTGAGCAATGCATAGATCTACATGCTGACAGTCAGGTAATCATTGATTTCATTAGCCCACAATTAGTACTAAACCTGTGTTTTATTTTGGTTTTATTTTGGTTGGCATTGGTATGTAATCAAGATAGGAACCTTTGTTTTTCTAAAAGCTGTTATTTAACTTACTTTCTCTGTCATTGGTTAGTGCTTTGTGCTAAATGCTTCGTCTTAGGTCGAAACGGGCGAGCAATATTTTGACCACTTCGGATCATCGACCAATGTCTTTCAAACTTGGCACATGGGTCAAGATTCGATGGCAACGCAGCGTGACGGCAAAACGACTTAATTAGATGTTTTATTAATGTTAAGATGTAATTAAAATTATTCTTTGTCCTATTTAAAGAACTATATTCCGCGCTATTATACTCACATTGTGTTCATTTGGTGTGCAATCGTTCATAAAAACAAACAATAAAACACTGTTTAATGGCTGTCTTTTACGATGTTATGCACTAAAGAAAAGAAAATAGATTATTTTCTTTAAATATATAATGTTGGACGGATAATTAAACAAATATATTATCTAATGAATATCTTAACTACAATTTAAAAAACAACCTACGCTTTTCTTTAGGTATATTAAAATAATGGTGCATTGTTATTTTTTTTTATTATTGTTTATTAGCAGCACCCCCTTCTACACACTCACACACAAGTACATTCATATGCATCGTTTTTTTTTTAAAATACCAGATTAACTTCAATTTCGTTGTTTGATTTTTTTTTTAGTAGGCCCTACTAAACACCGAAATATTCAAAATCTTCAAAGCTATCACGATAAAAATTGTTCATGGCCATATTTCTTACCATTATTATTCAACAATAACTTTCAAACAGGTGCCTAAAACACTGTTATAGAAATCAACACTTTAAGGCCTTGGTGTGAATAGCCTGTAGACATTGTAATTAACAATAACCTTCACTTATCCTATTATAGACTTTAACGTTTTATTATCCCTAGTTCAGAACTAAAACAATACCATAAACCTTACGCTGAACGCTACCCTAATTAATCCCAAACCCTAAACCCGAAATTCTTTACCTGATTGTTAGGCTACTACATAATTAAAGGTCAGCTATCTCTATATTTTATTACAGTTATCGACTATAGTGCGCTCGTGAAGCTTCCAATACTTTTTTCTAACATTTTTAACATCATATTACACTATCCGTTAATCTTGGATAACCAAGGGTTTCGGGGGTCATCTATGAAGGACGTTACGTTTAAATTGAACATTTATTTTTCCCCTCCCCTCTCCTCCCTACTGTCACACTTCGTCATAAAAAGCCAGACCCCAAATTCAAAAAGACGTCACACCTAAGACAACGTGTTTTGTCTTTTAAAATCATCGATTTCGGCTGAGCATGGGTCTGACCACATTAACCCTTCATATGCTAAGGTCACAGAAACAGATCAATTCTACTTCACCTGCCACGTGTTCCGCCAAGCATCAGACACTATGTTTTTGTCTTTAACAAAAGATTTCGGCTGAGCATAGGTCTGACCACACTATCCCTTCATATGCTGAGGTCGCAGGTGAACTCTATTTTACCTGATGATCTCTACTTCCCCTGCCCCGTGCCCCGCCTGGGGTTATTCTGTATAGGGGTACAATTATTTCATTTTCTTCCTTTTTATTTATTTGTTACCATTACTTTTGCCTATTCTTGCTAAGTGCGTTATACCATTATAAAATTAATTTCCTATTTATAAATATTTTATATATTTCTTGTCACAGATAGCAAAAATCTAAGAGGATGAGCGTTTCCAGGATCATGTTCTTAATTATTGGATTTACGATCGTGTATTTTGCAATATCGTATCTTTTATATCGGTAAGTAAACAAAAATTATTACTACGCACTTGTAAAAATATTATAACAATATGAAAATGTATTTTTTTTTTAAAACTGTAGTTATTTTTTGTAAAAAAATTGATCTAGTACGAAACTGAGTAAAAGCAATTTTATCTTTTAAAATACCAGGAGCCAGTTGTCAAATTTTGCACCCATGGCTACACCACTAAAACAAAAAGACAAGATGCGTGGAGAGACCGATGTACACTTCTCTCTGGCGACTAAAGAAGAATTCTGGGACGATGGTCCGATAGATATCTATGAAGCTTTTGCTCAACGTTCCTACAAGACTTTAGAGACGTGTAACAATACGTGTGTTGCAGATAATCATTTGTGTAAAGCTAAAATTACAAGTGATTTCAATAGACTACTAGCAAAAGATTTGATTGTACCGAAACCGTTCCTTGCCAGAGGGCAGTATATTTTTGATTGGGAGAAAAAATATTTGAGTTATCCACCTTTGAACGATACAAAAACGCTGCCAGATTTGAAGTTGTCTAAAGTGACAGTTGAAAACACAAGACAAGGTGTGGTCAGGTGTAAGATACTTGAAACTATACACGGTCGTCTGGATGTCGTGGATGGGTACGGGCGTCAGAGAACCAAGGGAGACGATGTGGTCAGGGTGTGGATGAAGGGCAGTAATTCAACTGGATATGCTGTAGTAGGTGATGTCTTGGATCTAAAAAATGGCAGCTATCTTTTCAATGTAAAATGTCTCTGGACTGGAGAATCTTCGGTAGAGTACTTAATCAAAACTGTTACAGGGTATTTATATAGTAATTTTAAACAGTTTTTTATCAGAAAGTTAATTTTATATCATAGTTAATTTCACATTATATTCGCATTGCGTCTTTTCTTCGTATCAACTTTGGAATAAATTGGCTCTGTAGTAAAAGTAGGTAGAAGTGAGTAAAGTTTTGTTGTCTAGTTTCGACTCAAAACGGAATAAAAGCACAAAGAACCGTGTTAAATAAAAGCTTGGAAAACTGAACAGATTCAGCAATTGAATAAATCATAAAAGATTGCGATTTAAGATGATTCAATAGAAAGTGGCGAATTCGTAACATAAATTCTAATTTTTTTTCAAAAAATATTTCCAATAAATAACTTTTAAAAAGTAATTTTTTTCTCATTTTTAGTTAGTGCTTTACGCTAAAAGAGTTCATGCTGAACTAGAGTCTGTCGATTAAAAGTGTTTCCATCTTTACCTGGTATTTCACGTCGGAATCTTGTGATAAAATTATTCCAATCTTTAGCTTCACGTGGCCATCGCCTACCCGCGTGAATTCATCAGGACTGTTATCCACCAGGTTCACATTGGGGCAACGAGATTCATGACCGCCACATTTAAAAAGAGAAACCGCGTGGAGGTAAACGCTGTCAAAAGCTACATTTTTCACTCACTTTTAACTTGCATATGTTTTTTTGACTTTATATATATAAATATAATTATATGTATATATATGTTAACAATATTTATTATCTAATTTTTGTTAAAAGGACACCATTTGTTTTCAAACCCCAAACATACCGGGTTGGGAGTGTATCTGTAACTTCAGCAAGATTGGTTATGAGAATTATTACTGTGGTAGACCGAGGAATAATCAGTAAGCTGTTGCACACACACTACACATACATACATTCTCTCTGTATGTATGTATGTATATATATACCTATATATATATATATATATATATATATATATATATATATATATATATATATATATATATATATATATATATATTGTCAGTGAGATTATTTTATATAATTAAAATTTTTGCCAACAGTTTATCATGTGACGATTGGATAGAAGGTGGATACTTAGATGTATCACCGCCCCATGACGTTACAGGCGCTGAAAGAAGTCTGATTAAGTCTATTTGCACGTAAGTTTTTTTTTTTTTAATCAATAAGATTTTATGAAAAAGGTTATTAACCCTTGACTTACGTGTAATCATCAACTTCTAACAAATAATTTAAAAGTTAACCATAACAATTATAATGTTAACTTACTATCTTCTAAAATATTTTACTTTGCAAAGTTTGCTATGTAATTCATGTTCTTGTCTTTCTTCATAATTGTAACAATTAAACATTTGAGTTAAACTTTACTAGTTTAATTTTGTTATGGCTTTTGAAACCTCTTCCACAGTAAACCACCAGAGCGGACAGTTGCTCACAATTTTCAAATATCTGCTGAAAATACAGGTACCCTGGTTGTGTTGTTTAACTGTTTACCTAAATCTAACTCCATATGTTATTTGACTACAGTTAACCTCAGCTTTGTTGACATGGGTTTATCCATACCAAGATCTTATTTTTATGAGATATTTTTTGTTTATATTATATTGTATTAAATTTGGTAGTTTTTTACATCAACAAACAAAAAATTCTTAAGAAAGCTTGTTAGGATACTGTGTGGGAAGTAGAAATTGATGATTACTGTTATTTGAAAGATCAACACTTCATAGAACACCACATCTTTGTTACGTATATCAATTATATTTTAGAATGAGCATTGCTTCTTACCCATAAATTATCGGTACGTTATATTTAAGCGTACATGTATATATATATATATATATATATATATATATATATATATATATATATATATATATATATAAACGTTATCGACTGTTAAAATGCATGTCTAGATCACAGACGTCGTTTCCTTTATATTTTGCAGATAACTTTCCAGAGTTACCCCCCTGTCACATGTCAAACAAAAATGTCACCTGGACAACAGCGATGCCTAAAGGCATCTGGACACCTGGCAATATCTGGAAGTCTCTGGTCTGTAAGGACTCAGGGGTCATCAATACAAACTGGACATTAAAATGCCTCAGAAACACATCCGTCTGGATCTTCGGGGACTCAAATGCCAGGATGACATATGATGTGATTCTAGAGCTGACTAAATGTAACAAAACAGAAGGTGGATACCCATTGAGAGGAACATGCACCAAGCCTGAGACTGGACTCTCCATAAATGTATTTTGCCACGAAGGACCGGTGTATACATACTCACAAAGAAATGAAAATTATACCGGGATTCCAAGTTTTATACAGAAGCTACCAAAAAACCAGAAACATATTCTCATCATTCAGTATTACCTCCACTACACGGCTGCCCATCTCGCTGTGCTGTCGTTACGTATGAAATCTCTGAGAGCCGCCATAGAAAAACTGCTTGAAGAAAACCCCAACGTCTTGATAGGACTCAGAGGTCCTCACATTGCTTCTTTATATTACAATTACAACCATGCAATTGGAGGAGATCCTTTAGGACCCCAGTATATCCATATAATACGAGAAAGACTCAAAGGCCTAGAAGATAAAATCGTGTTCTTAGATTTGTGGGAAATGTCCATTGGAATAGAAAACTTTGATTATCATCCACCACAGTATGTCAATCTTGAGATGTTCAAGTTTTTGTTGTCTTTTAAGTGCAATTAGCCCGAAGGAAGATATTCCACACTCTAAAGGATCACATGGATGATAAGAGTTAAAACTTACAATTAATTATTTGGTTAAATTTGGACTATTTAGTTTGTTTTGTTTCATAATAATTATATATTTGCACTTAATAAAATTTCGTAAAATGAATCCTGTAAATAATGTATTATTTTTCCCCCTTGTATGTTGTATTTTAATCTAGCTATAAAACATGTAGGCTGACAGGCTCATTTTTAAAAATGTATTTGTTGTTAGACTTTAAGTTATCTTGGTCAGTTCTTACAGAAACAGCATGGAATGACAAAGTTTAGTAATATTTCATTCAAATTAAGTTGCTTTTTAATGGAAGCGGTAAAAATTGGTTGATCTATTTCTTCTTCAAATTTTTTCCTAAATATATTCATGTCTGAGAATTCAAACAAGTTCAACTTCTTGGACGAAATGCGCTGTGGTCTCCAGATCTGTGGGCGGGGGGGGGGGGGGCACCCCTCACAGCTTTTCACTGAGTGGAGTATATTGAGGCCAGAATTTAGTCCGCGTCTTATTGTACACGTACCAGTACTGTAGGACGTACTGTGTGTTCTTTGGGTTACGCCACCAGGGCAAGATTCGTCTGCACCAGCTTATAATTTCTTTAAACATGTTGATCCGATTTAATAGCTCATTGAATTCGACAATTATACAAACAGACAAACATAGCTATTTATTATATTATTAGCTGCACAACGCCTCACAAACCCCTCTCTCGAAGTCCACACTTAATCATACTCCTCGCCCTTTTTACACACAAATTCCGCGCCTCCTCCACCCCCTTTTAACATGGCACTTACCTACTACGTCAAATAAATTGTTTCAAAAGACTTATTTATTTGCTTTCTTGCTTTTTCTCAGGCTATTCTATTTCTATCGATATTTGTGTTTGAGTTTTTTCTGACCCACTCAACAGTCCTTAAAATATTCTCTAAGCGCAATGCAAATGAATTACTTTTGTACCTAGACCAGCACCTTATTTTTACTTTCTCGTATATACGAAGTAGGTGCCTATAGAGAAAGTCTTGTAATCGTGCAATAAAAATAACCGATACGGAAAAACGTAATTTTGCAATATTGTCAGTATGTCTGTGTGTGTGTCTGTGTGTGTGTGAGTGTGTAAACAGGATAACTTGAGTACCTTTACAGCAAGGTTGATGAAATTTCATATATAGTATTTTATCAAAATCGTAGATCCTGAACAACTTTTGAGCAATTTCCGATAACCGGAAGTGGTACTTTTTCTACTTTGAATATTTTTCAAAAGTCTATAACTTGAGTACTATTTCAGATAGATAAATAAAATTTCACATGTAAGTAAAATATCTGATTTTCTACCTTCTGTCAAATTATGAGTAATTTCCGTTGACCTGAAGTACTAATTTACGCTATTTCCAATTTCTCAAAAAACGCATGCAAATTTATAAAGTACTAATAATATTGCGCACTATTATGCACATTTTGTTTTGGCGTTTGCTTGGTGCGCAATTCTTTTTTCTATGAGTTTCTATTCTATTTTTAAAAGTTTAAGTAATTAAAAATCATGTCTACATTCCAAGTTATATAAGAATTTTCGAGAAAGTTTATGGGAGATCACTCCCGGTTTAGTTACACACAAACTCCGCCCCTGCCCCGTTTTTAACATTGCAATTACCTACTACGTCAAATAACACATTGTTAAACAAGAACTTGTTCGTTGTTTCCTTGAATTTTCTCTTACTATTCTTTGGGTATTTGTGTTTGAGTTTTTCCGCCATCCATCCCACCCTCTCAATTCCACAGTCCTATAAACGTTCCCCGAGCGTAGTGAGAATCTGTGACTTGTGTGTAAGCGCTTTCTCTTTTAGAAGCCGTTGATTTTTCCTAGAGTTTTTGCGTTGCTTGTTGTGAACATGTTAGGCAGAGGCAAGTAATGGAAAATGTATTATTTAACACCGTTCATGGAACAATACATAAACACAGCAATAAAATCACATCAATTTCTTTCAACCAGAGTTGCGCACCAACTCTAGTCATAAACGCACTCTTTGGCATGTAGTGTAAAAACATAAAACGCCAAAGGTATGAGAAAATGTATTGTTTTCCACAGCAGTTAGAACAATAATACATTCAGACAGTCGGGTAATAAATGTATTCGTATTCCCACAAGTAGTACTAACGCTGCATTTTATTGACACAATATAAATCACTGTTTGTCAATGCTATGTAGTCTAATTAAGGTAGGAGCCTTTCTTTTTTACAAGCTTTTATTTAACTTGCTTTCTGTTTCTCTCTATTTTCCTATCGAGCAAAATTTTCGGGCACTTCTAACCAATCAATTTCTCTGAAATTCGGCACGTATGTCAAGACCCAACGACATTGCAATTTGGTATTAAATTTGACTCGATTGGATGCCTAATTTTTTTTTTTATGAATTAATTAATGTTTTCTGAAATTCGTAGTCTGTCTCACTACTACTATTCCGCACTAATAAACGCGCGTTATCATGTTCATTTGGTGCGCAATATTTCTTAGTCATGCAGAATTAAGGTATACAAATTTTTAAAGTAGGCCTACTACAAGAAAAAATATTTTTAAAACACATTAATTAGTTTTTATTAACAAGCTTGTATGTAAAATTGCACTAAAAAAGGAGAAAATTAATTATAGTTATTTAAATTGTGGTTTATTATAATATATTTTTAAAAAATCCTTTTATTTTCTCCTTTTTAGTGCATTTTTACATAAAAGCTTGTTATTACAACGCTTTTATGCAATTTTTTACAAGATTTTATTTATCTTACATTGTCTGTCGTGCTAAGTGTTTGAAGGATTGAAAAAAAAATTAATAAAAAATAATTTAATAACTAGCACTAATTATTCGCTAAAAAAAGAAAATACATGATTTTCTTCAAAAATATAATAATGGACCATTTTTTAAATAATAATTACAGTATGGGTCCTTATATTATCTAATATAGGCCTATACCTTTACTAAAATCTAAAAAAATGACCCACGCTTTTCTTTTCAGTTATTCAAATAATGGAATCCGCTGCTGAAGAGATTTTCGTAAAAAACTGATTTCTCCTAACCAAAACTTTAGACTAACTCTAGTCAAAGACGGACCGCTAGCCTTTAGTTTCACCTCATTAACTTTAATAACGTCGTTTAAGTAAAATCTACCGTTGTATTTCTTTGTAAAGTAGTACACCTATGTAAGGAACGTAAGGGAGGGTAGTGTGCTAGGCTACTAATCCCAATGCTAATCACATTATTCATTAATATATAAATTATGTTCGACAGGAATGATAACTTTGATATAAGTAAAACAGGGTTAAAGTCAATGGACCTCCTTGAGTCCATCCGGTTCAAATAGATAGGGAAAGTAAAAGCGCCTGGGCATTGTGCTGATCACATTATCCCGTCATGTGCCGAGGTCAAGAAACAAATGAACATCTGCTCAATGGATTACTAGGTCTAAAGAGGAATCTTTACTTTGTGTTAAACTAAGCATTCTGCCTAGCTTCGCTTATGTTCGCTTATGAGCGTTTTTAATGATTAATTAATTGGTGATTGGCTGTTATGTGGAGTGCATCGGGAATAAATTTTTTAACAGTGAGTAATTTCATGACATGCTAACATTGGTGGAGTATTCGCAAACTTATTACTCGCAAGGTTATTATAACAGCAAAGGCTTTATTAGTAGTGTAAATCAAATATTACATTAATTTCACTTTTGCAAATGATTTTTACATTTTGGTACAATAACTTTACTAAATTTATAACGAAATATTTATTTAAACGAATACTATACTTTGTGATTTTAGTTTTTTCTAACAGATTGTATAAATATTATTTAAAAATTATTACTTTAAAAGTTACCTCCCTGTACATAAACCGAATGACGTAGTCTTTGTTTACTTTACGACAGACAATTGTTTATAAAAGAAAATACAGCATCTAGACAAATCTAACGACCATAAGGATTTTTTCCGACGGGAATAATGTTGTTGTTTTTTCGTTACCCTCCAGGGTCAGTCTACGACCTCACAAAATATTAGGGGATCGTTCGTCAATTTACTTATTAAAATCTCATATTAGGAGAATGTCACTCGAGGTCATTTTTTTAGACCAACAGTTTTTCCATACGGCATGGTAATCTATATAGTAATATATGCAGGTTCATGTAAAAAATTAGCCAGATGTACAGAGGTTAAGTACCTGAAATTTGTGTTGAAACTACCCTGCTTTTCGCATAAAATACAAAGATTATATAGGAAAATACAACTGGTCAGTTTTGACACATTTTTAGATTTTTCCCGGATACGGCGAGTTTTTTCTTACACTCCTTGACGTTTTTCTACCACCTCACAAAATATCAAGTGGTGTCGTTCGGCAAAAGTTTGTTTCGTAATATTGCTCATATAAAGAGAATTTCACTCGTGGTCACATTTTAGCCAAACCGACAGTTTTTCCGTACGGCCTAGCCATTTACCAATTGCATGCCAAAAATTAGCCTGATGGACAGAAGTTAAGTACCCTGAAATCTTTATTGAAATTACCCTCTGTTTTCCACATAAAATACCAAGATTATATAGGAAAATACGGCTGGTCAGTTGTGACCACTAGGATTTTTTCCCAGATATGCCGTGTTTTTTGTGATACCCCTTGGTGTTCTTCTACCACCTCACAAAATATCAAGGGGGGTCGTTCGGCAAAAGTTTTTTTCGTAATATTGCTTATTTAATCGCCGGTCAGTCGAGGTCAGTTTTGACCCCCTTCTCGTGGACGGTGCGGCCAACCGGCACCAGCTCTCGTGTTCTATTGTCACAAGGCAGAATCCTGCCAAAGGTGAAGCGCCTGCGACGCAGGAAAATTCCCTATCGGGCACCCGGGCACTTTGCTTTCTATATATATAGATAGGTAAAAAAATATAGCCTTCAAAAGAAGGATAGTCAGGGGGTGGGGGGGGGGGGGGGGGGGAGAGAAGCACTACTTGCTTCACTACTTGCTTTTCTTTTATTTAAAACGAGCCGACCCGCGGCATATCATAAGCCGCTATTTAGTTGTTGTTTTTTCTACTTTTCGGTAATTCATAATTTGTGAATTCGACAGTACCAACGCTGCCACTGAAAATATTTCTGTAAAACACTATAAGTACCTCGTTAAGGACGATATCCCCCCCCCCCCCACCGTTCCCCCCCCCCCTCTCCGTTAAAGTAAACTCCACTTAATTACCCCCCCCCCCCCTACGTTTAAAATCGTTTCAAACTAAATTATCTGCCCCTAATAGTCGTCACTAAACCCGGCTCTGCTTGTAAACAGCGTGAACCACAGCTCACCAGACCATGAAGGGGTGGGGGTGGTAGGGAGCGCGCTTACAGCTTGTTTTCAAGCGACTCCCAGAAGAGAATTATATATATATATATAGATACGCTAAGGTATATTTAATTAAAATGTCGAGGCAGATTTTTTACCTCGTGATAAATTACTGTTTAGCACTGATAGATAGTTAAGATACGAGTCTTTGTTGTTGTTTTTTTTATGACCTGCCGTCCTGAATTATCTGTTCCCACCTCGCATTGTCTTGAAAGTTAACAGCTAGTTTATGTCTATCTGGTGAGTGTGCAGAGGCGTAGCGAGGGTGGGCGGGGGGACATATGTCCCAGGGCGCCGACCATAGGGGGACGCCAAATTGAAAGTTTGAGGGGGGTGCAAATGAAAAGTTCGAGCGGGGGGTGCAAATCGAAAGTTTGAGGGGGGGGGGGGTGCAAACCAGAAGTTCCAAGGGGGGTGCAAATCGAAAGTTTGAAGGGGGGGGTGCAAACCAAAAGTTCGAGGGGGGTGCAAATCGAAAGTTTGTCCCCGGGCGCCGGGAAGGGTCGCTACGCCTCTGTGTGTGTGTGTGTGTGTTTAATCTAGGGTCCTACACAGATAGAGCTGATTGTATCCAATGTTTGTTTAGACTTGGGGTCCTAAACATCCAGTTTATTGTAGTTTCTTGGAGTTTTCGTTTTCGAGTTGTCTTCAGTGGAGTTTTGAATAGTCTGGGGAGGTATATGTTATTTGTAGTTACTCGAGATTAGACACACACACACACACGACATATATAGGCCTATATCGCTTCCCAAAACCAGCTCAACTTCAGTTTTGCTGTTTCGATTATTTTTAGATTGATACAACGTTATGTTTGTATTCCACAAACCTTTAATGGTAGTAAACAATTTCGTGGCCATATTTCTTTATTACAAGTGCCTAAAACACTTTTATAAAATTCTACACTTCAAAAGCCACGTTGTGAATATTTTGTTGACAATATCATCAACAGTGACCCTAGAATTAGCCTCACTGTACTCTTATCACTGAACATTAATTTAAACTTATCCCTTTCTCTAAACTCGAAATTCTGAACCTAATTGTTAGGATACTACATATTAAGTAAAGTTTCCCTTTCAAACCTGACAGTCTATGGGGCAAGTGAAGTAGAGTTCACTTGTTTCTGTGACCTCGGCATATGAAGAGATAGTGTGGTCAGCACTATGCCTAGCCGCCTTTACTTTCCCTAACGTGAGTTAGGTACCCATCAGAGTTGGGTGGACTCAGGGACGGTCTACTGACTTGAACCCGGATTCTAACTCTAGACTTACGGGTTAGATGACCAACTCTTTACAGCTAGACCACTCCGTCCCACACTACATATTAAATGGACGAATTTCTCACAAGAAATTACAGTTTTAGATTACTGTGTGCTTGTGAAGCTTCCAATAGTTTTTCATAAAAAATAGTCGTAAAAAATGCATTCAGTGCATTTTTGACGCCCTTTCGAAATCTATATATATAATTCTCTTCTAGGAGACGCTAGAAAACAAGCTGTAAACGCGCTCCCTACCACCCCCACCCTTATATGGTCTGGTGAGCTGTGGTTCACTCTAAATGTTTACAAACAGAGCCGGGTTTAGTGACGACTATTAGGGGCAGATAATTTAGTTAGAAACGATTTTAAACGTAGGGGGGGGGGGGGGGGGAAGTGGAGGTTACTTTTAACGGAGGGGGGGGGAAGGAGGGGGGGGGGTTATCGTCCTTAATGAGCTACTTATAGAGTTTCAGCGTTGGTACTGTCGAATTCACAAAGTATGAATAACTGAAAAGTAGAAAAAACAACAACTAAATAGCGGCGTATGATACACCGCGGGTCGGCTCGTTAAATATATTTTTGCAGAAATCTCCCTCGAGTATTCTTATCAACTTCCCCAAAGATTCATGGCTCCGGATGAAAGCTGTAGTAATGCATATACCACAAACAAGCCCACATACATATTTTCACCTTTTTACGTATATACATATATATATATATATATATATATATATATATATATATATATATATATATATATATATATATATATATATATATATATATGTGTGTGTATATATATATATATATGTATATATATATATATATATATATATATATCTATATATATATATATATATATATATATATATATATATATATATATATATACCTGTCGTTCGAGCACACAACACACACACACACAATAAGGGGACATGTAAGGGACGTAACACCTTGTATTGACTGAGGTATATATTCTTATAGTCTTAATAAATTTTGTAGTCCTACAAACTATATGAATCACAAATATGACGTATAATTCCCCATTCTACTACTAGTTCCGTTATTTTAAAATCTGTTATTATGCTAGACCGTTAGCCGCGTTTAAAATAGTTCCATTAAGATTAAATCCTTATTGATTAAATTCAATTTAGAACATAGGCCTACTAGCAGATTATGATTTTAATAAAAATTCATATTTGTTATCCCTAAAATGGAATAACCTCATCTATATTGTTTGTCAGTTATATCATTATAATACATGTATTGCATATTTGAATATTTGAATTATATTTTTAATCGGGTTTCCTTGAGTTCGGAATGTATATGTTTATAGCCTACAAATTTTAGCGATGTTTTTTTTTATTTTAAATTTATGTTACATTTACTTTTACCACTAGTCTCTGAGTGTATAATGTCATTAATATATTTCTATTTTCAAACATAGACGGTTCCAAGTATTTCTTGTCACAGATTGAAAAGCTAATGAAGAATGAAATTTACCACGATTACCAATAGAAGCATCACCTTAATTGTTGGATTTATAATCGTGTATTGTTCGGTATTATATCTCTTTAAATGGTCAGTAAAAAAATTATTTTCAAGCATTTGCTAAAATATTGTAACATTATTAATTATCTTTTTTTTAAATCAATAGCTATATTTTGTAAAGATATGTGCCGTTAAAGGAGTCCAATAAAAGACAAGTAATTTTATATTTATAAAATAACAGGCAGCAGTTTTTGAATTTTGCACCAATGACCACGCCACCATACAAAAAAGAAACGATGCTTTTACCTCTACATGGAGAATTTGACGTCCATTTTTATCAAGCGATTGAAGAAGAATTCTGGGACGATGGTACGATAGATATCTATAAAGCTTTTGCTCAACATTCCTACAAGACTTTAGATACGTGTAACAATATTTGTCATGCAGATAACCTTGTGTGTACTGCTACAAGTACACAGGAATTCAATGGACTAATAGCAAAAGATTTAATGGTACCTAAACCGTTTTCCTTACAAGAGGGCAGTATATCTTTGATTGGGAGAAAAAATATTTGAGTTATCCCCCTTTGAACGATACTAAAATGCTGCCAGATTTGGAGTTGTCTAAAGTGACAGTTGAAAACACAAGACAAGGTGTGGTCAGGTGTAAGATACTTGAAACTATACACGGTCGTCTGGATGTCGTGGATGGGTACGGGCGTCAGAGAACCAAGGGAGACGATGTGGTCAGGGTGTGGATGAAGGGCAATAATCCAACTGGATATGCAGTAGTGGGTGATGTCTTGGATCTAAAAAATGGCAGCTATGTTTTCAATGTAAAATGTCTCTGGACTGGATTATCTTCGGTAACGTAATTTTTCCAAATTGATTAAAATAATGTTTTTTTTTTTTAAACCGTTTATAATTATAAGCTTTTATTTTTGCCGAAAAAAAAATAAACAAAGTATTTTTTTTTTATATTTAATGATGCACCACTGTTTTGTAGATATAGTAAATTTGTATTTTATGTATATAAAATCATTAGTACAACTCGGCTTTAAAAGTTGGTTTAATTATTTTTCCACCAAAGTTAAATATTTTATAGCATTTGAGAAATAAGTACTAAATGGTTTAACTAAGCCTAGAAATTTTCTAACAAATAAATACTAGCAATAATTATAGTAATTTAACTGAAGTTTTAATTTTTTTTTTAGATTTGTAAAGTAAGGGTTTTGTTGTGATAGGTGATGCTATATTATTCAATATGAATAAACTACTAAATAAATCAGAAAAGAATTGTATCATAGATATTTTCACATTAAATTATCACTGCGCCTTGATATATGAGTCAAATTTGAAATAAATTGGCTGAAATAAGATAATAGCGCAAGGAATCGTTTTAAATAAACGCTTGCAAAATTAAAGAGATTTCAGCAAATTTTGTTAATCATTAACATTTGAATTTAGGATTGCTATCCAGTAAGATTCAATACAGTAGACACATTTCAAATAGAAATTGTCTAAGTTTTTTTTTAAAAGGTTTTTTTTTTTAAATTAAATTTTGAACACAGACAGATGTTTTATAAAAACTTTGCCCGCTAAAATATCTAAGGGATCTCATCAGCGATCCAAAGCTTTGATCAAAGAAAACAACATTGTTCTTTTTTTTTCAATGCAATTTAATGCAAAACAAACAGAAAATATACTAGCTACGAAAGCATAAATAGGCGAATGTTTCTAATTGTGATAGTTCAAGATAGAGCCTTGAGTTTTAACAAAAAAATGTCTAATCTTTAGCTTCACGTAGCCATCGCCTACCCGCGTGAATTCATCAGGACAGTCATCCACCAGATTCACGTAGGTGCAACGAGATTAATGGCCGCCACATTTAAAAAGGGAAACTATAATGAGGTAAAAGCTGGAGAAATAAAACTCTATATTTTTATTCGGTACTATTTACCTATAACTTTATATATATATATATATATATATATATATATATATATATATATATATATATATATATATATATATATATATATATATATGCCTTGGTTTCAGAAAAAGTATGACGTAATATTTTAAGATGTTTTTTATTATTACGTTACCAAATCTGTCCTATATTCATAGACGTGTGACCTTGTTTTCTAAAACCGAGTTATTTAAATGTCAATAGTGCCTGCGCCATATTTCTTTGGTGATATTTTTCAGGGCACGGGTTTACTTGCAGGCCCCAGTACGTGGTGTATGAAAGCCTTAAGTGTACGTTAATCACTTTCTCTAATTTGTAGGTAGAACACACTTCAGCTACTTCACAGTTGTCAGGAACGTAGCAGTGGGCTGCCGGGAGCCCCCAGATACACTATCGGCTCCTGGTTCGGCTTAGTCATTGAATGTCATGTGCCACAGTGTCAATATTGTAAACGAACGTAGGTTCCATAGCGCTCAAGTGAAACACGGGGGCGCCAAATCGCACCTGCCTGTGCTGCCCTTGGAAAATTGATTTTCTTCACCGCAGTAATAGTCTTGGGAGTATTTTTATCAATTCCCCAAATTTTAATGGCACTCGGATGAACGGTGTCGCTCCGCATCCGACTTTGATTTTACATACCGTAAATAGAGAAAGTTTGAAAACTCTCGGGGCGCCGCCCTAGCAATATTAAAAAGTATGTTAGGCTCAACCCCCCCCCCCCCCCCCGGTGTGTTCTCATCAACTCCTCAAACTTTGATGGCGATTGTATGAACTGTGTCAAACTGCAATCGACTTTAATTTTTATGTACCATTCATAGAGAAGAATCGAAACAACGCGCCCTACCGGGGCAACACCCCTGCGAATTTGAAAACGAAATGTTACCAGAAAACTCCCCATGAGTATTCTCAACAACTTCCCAAAGTTTCATGTCGATCGGATGACAGTTGTCACATCACATTAGTCCTCTTTGCTCCGTATGGAACATAGGGCCTCAACCATTTCCTTCCATTTCTTCCGATCCCCGGCTATTAATTTTGTCATTTCCCAAGACATCCCTGTTGGCTTCAGTTCTTCAAGAAGACTCCGCCTCCAGGTCTGTCTTGGGCGCCCTCTTTTCCGCCTTCCCTGTGGGTTCCACTCAAGCGCTTAGCGTGTAACAAAATGGTGAGCCTTTCGCAGTGTGTGACCCACCCAGCGCCACTTCCTCCTTCTTATTTGCACACCCATAGGCTCCTGCCTAGCTTTCCTTCATAGTTCTATGTTCGTCACTTTGTCCTGCCATCTTAAATTCAATATCTGTCTAAGGCATCTATTCATGAAGGTCTGTATCTTTGCTGTGCTTGCTTTGGAGACTCTCCATGTCTCTGCTCCATACAGCAGAACTACCTTGACATTAGAGTTAAATATCCTAATTTTTGTGGTAATGGAAATGGCCGAACTTTTCCATATGGGTCGCAGGACAGTGAAAGCGCAGCGAGCTTTATTAACTCTAGCACGTATGTCCTCGTCTGTGCCTCCCGTTTTGCTGATCTTCCTGCCAAGGTAGACAAACTCCTGCACATCATTTACCTGTTTTCCATCTATTGACAGGATGACAGTTGTAGTAATTCATAAAAGACAGACAAACGCACAGACACACATTGCTTTATATATATCTATCTATATATATATATATATATATATATATATATATATATATATATATATATATACGGTTATGCTAACGGTGTTTATTATAAACAAAAATATAACAGGACACCATTTGTTTTCAAGCTCCAAACATACCAGGCTGGGAATGTATCTGTAACTTCAGCAAGTTTGGTTATGAGAATTATTACTGTGGTAGACCGAGAAATAATCAGTAAGCTTACACATACATACTCTCTCTGTATATATATTTCCTAAATATATATATATATATATATATATATATATATATATATATATATATATATATATATATATATATACATATATATATATATGTATATACATATATATATATATATATATATATATATATATATATATATATATATATATATATATATATATAAATATATATATATATATATATATATATATATATATATATATATATATATATATATATATATATATATATATATATATATATATATTTATATATATATATATATATATGTATATATGTATATACATATATATATATATATATATATATATATATGTATGTATACATAAAGATATATATATGTATCTTCAGTTTGTCATGTGACGACTGGATAGAAGGTGGATATTTAGATTTATCACCGCCACATGACGTTACAGGAGCTGAAAGAAGTCTGATTAAGTCTATTAGCACGTAAGTTTTTCTTTACTTTTGGAAATCAAGATTTTAAGAAAACGGTAAATAACCGTGTTTGTGTATGACATTAACAATCTCTATTTTTTAATTTAAAATACTAATATCTTCTGAAATATTTTTACGTTGCAAAGTTTATTATTTAATATGTGTTCTTGCTTTCCCACACGAAAGTAACAGGTAAACACTCTAGTTAATATTTCTTACATTAATTTTGTTCCGGCTTTACGAGTTGAAAACTCATCCACAGGAAACCATCAGAACGGACAGTTGCTCACAATTTTAAAATATCTACAGAAAATACAGGTATTATGGTTGTGATGTTTGACTGGATTTTATATATCCACAGAAAATATAGCTATTGTAATTGTCTCGCTTTGACCATTTACTAAAATATAATTTTAATAGAATATGTTGAACGCTGTTAATCTCAAAGTTCTTAATGTTGGATTATCCATTCCGATGACCAGCACAACATACAACATCACATATTTTATGTTGATACATAGGTTATTAAAATAAGCATTACTTCTTACTCATTCAATATATATATATATATATATATATATATATATATATATATATATATATATATATATATATATATATATATATATGTGTGTGTGTTTGTGTGTGTGTACACCTTATTGAACTTCAAAATGATTAATCTCAGCGGCGTTGACTATCATACCAAGATCAACACTTTATACAACACAACATATTGTAACGTAGATCACTTACATTTTAAATGAGCATAACATTTTCTGTACGTTATTTGTAATATACATATATATATATATATATATATATATATATATATATATATATATATATATATATATATATATATATATATATATATATATATATATTGCAGATAACTTTCCTGAATTACCCCCTTGTCACACGTCAAATAAAAATGTCACCTGGACAACAGCAATGCCTAAAGGCATCTGGACACCTGGCAATGTCTGGAAGTCTCTAGTCTGTAAGGACGTAGGGGTCATCAATACAGACTGGACATTAAAATGCCTCAGAAACACATCCGTCTGGATCTTCGGCGACTCAAATGCCAGGATGACCTATGATGTGATTCTAGAGCTGACAAAATGTAACAAAACAGAAGGCGAATACCCTAAAGGAAAATGCAACAATCCTGAGACTGGACTCTCCATAAATGTTTTTTGCCACGAAGGACCGGCGTATGTATCCTCAAAAAAAAGCGACAATTTTACTGTCCCAAATTTTATACAGAAGCTTCCAAAAAACCAGAAACATATTCTCATCATTCAGTATTACCTCCACTACACGGCTGCCCATCTCGCTGTGCTGTCGTTACGTATGAAATCTCTGAGAGCCGCCATAGAAAAACTGCTTGAAGAAAATCCCAACGTCTTGATAGCACTTAGAGGTCCTCACATCGCTTCTTTATATTACGATTACAACCATGCAGTTGGAGGAGATCCTTTAGGACCCCAGTATATCCATATAATACGAGAAAGGTTCAAAGGCGTAGAAGATAAAATCGTGTTCTTAGATTTGTGGGAAATGTCCATTGGAATAGAAAACTTTGATTATCATCCACCACAGTATGTAAACAGGGAGATGGTCAAGTTTTTGTTGTCTTTTCAGTGCCGGTGATATGAAATTATACAACGCTTAATAAATTGACACACCAAATTTAAATTTGAAACATTCAACAATTTTATAGTATAAAGCAAAGTGGAGGATGTTTGTTTGTTAATCACTGCTAATGGATCGCTATGTTAATCTTAAGATGGTCATGTTTTTTAGTCCTTTCAGAGACAATAGTCAGAGGGAAGATTTTCGACACTTTAAATGAGCATATGAATTTTAAGATTTCAAATTTGAAATTAATCATTAATATGAAATTGTGTTATTTAATTTGTTTTGTTTGTCACTTGTTTAGAGTAATTGTATGTAATGCACTTCATAAAAGTTCAAAAAATAAATTCTCAAATTAATTTGTGATTTTTTAAAATTAAATTTTATTTAAATCTAGTTTTAAAACGTATTGGTTGACTGACCCATGTTTTTAAATGCATGTGTTATTCGATTTTAAGTTATAATAATCAGTTTTTTAACATAACATTTCATAGAAACAGCATGGAATGACACATGTTAGTAATATTTCATTGAAATTTAGTAACTCTAATTTAATGGTACTGTTGAAAATTCTTTGTTATTAATATATTAATGTCGGAGGATTTAGACAACAAATCCAACGAACTGAACTGCCATCTCCAGATCTGTGGTGCATCTAATAAAGTTTCTCCCAGAGTTGGGTGTACTGGGGTCAGGGTTTAGATAGCTCATGATTGTATAAGGACCCGTCCTGTACGGTGTACTTTATGTTCTCGGGGCCATGCTACAAGGCCGTGTTTCATCTGGACCAAAGTCCACACATAACCTTTCACTTAACCAGCCACTATCTCACAAACTCCATACATAACTTACACTTCGCACCACAAGATACACTCTCAAAAAGTTCATACATAACCTTACTCCACTCCGTTGTTACACACAAACTCACCACCACCTCCACCCCATTTCACTTATCACGGGACTTACCTACTACGTTAAATAACACATCAATAAAATGGTTCCTTGCAATCAGCTAGCACGCACTTCAAATTATAACATTTCACACAGCAGCCTTGGTTAAACATCTCCTTTTTCTGTATTGTTTCCTAATTTTTTTTATAGTCTAGACAACTATAAATCTTACAAAATATTTTCAAAAGTAAATGAATCTGATAGGTGGATATAAATATCTTAAAAAAATTAAAAATAGAAATTAAAAAAAAAAAACTCATTTTCGTTTTGTTTGATATTGTGTAGCATATTTATTACATATCAGCAGATTTACAACCGAATACATGAAATTAATAAATCTACTAAATCAAAAATGAAAAAGGAAATTAGGTATTTTGAAATTTTGAAATTAGGTATTAAAATAACATAATATTTACAGACACTATAAAGTTCTTAAGTGAGTGCTATTCTAAATATTTTGAATCATGGATTATATATATATATATATATATATATATATATATATATATATATATATATATATATATATATATATATATATATATATATATATGGTGTGTACTTGACATAATCGGTCAGGCTTTAATCGAGCCATCTATACCCATGTCTAAAAGAAAGTTGTTTAAATATTAAAATTTAAACCGCAGTGCTTAAAGATAAGCTCAAATCAGCAACAGGTAAAACGCTTAATTGATTTTTAATGTAAACTAGACTACCCGTTATCATTAGATAACTGTGGGTTTCGGGGGTAATCCATAAATGACATCACGTCTGTCACTATCATCACAAAATAACCATACTCCACAATCAATAAGGCGTCACACCTCAGACATTTTTGTCTTTTAAAAACACTGACTTCGCCTGAGTATGGGTCTGACAACATAATCTTTTATTTGCTGAGGTCACAAAAACAGGTCAACTCTACTTCACCTACCAAGTGTCCTCCCAACTCAGACATGTTTTTGTCTGTGAAAACACAGATTTTGGCTGAGGGTGGGTCTGACCATACTATCTCTTCATATGCTGTCGTCGCAGGTGAACTTTACACCTACCCAACACTACTTCACCTGCCCAGTGTTCCACCAAGTCTCAGACAACATGTTTTATCTTAAAAAAAAAGAGATTCCGGCCGAGCATGGCTCTGACCACACTATCCACTCTACTTCACCTGCCATGTATCCCAATAGGTAAAGGCAACATTAGCATTCACAGCTAAAAAAAATAATTAAAATTAAAAAAAAACTACCGACATGTCTAGAACCCATGCCACCCGCATGGTACCTAAGGTGCTAACCTCTTAGCTACCTAGGCTCGTTTGGAGAAGTTAATAACTTATATATTTTACTTATAAGCTGCGTAAGAATCTTGACATATTTCTGTGGATCTAGAGAAATGTATTGTATAATAAAATAAAAAGAAGAGTTCATTGATTATATAATTGAAACGTAATAAATACAGCAAACGGACGTATTGTTAAAGTTATAGCCGACAGAAAATTAGCTTTAGAACGCGTTAAACTTTTGATAGGGCCACAAAGTCTATGATGGAAGCCGCCATTTTATTGTACTAAAGATAAACAAATCATGTGACGTCACTATTCCCACAAAGTTAAGTGAATGTTTTAAACTTTTATAATTAATGTGGTTAATCTACCTATGAATAAATCAATAAATTAATTAACGTCTTTAAATAGATTTGTGATTAACAGTCTGTCTGAAAACAAAAATTGTTCTCTATCTACATAGTATTTTACAGCTCTCCACATAGCGCAGATCCTCTACAGTAGTAAATCAGACAAACAAACATTTTATAGAAATACGCTTGTCGCCTACTTATTATTCCCTGTCGAACAACAAAACCATGCGATACAATAAAAAATAACCAAAAATAAAATATCAGTAAGAGTCTCATGTAAAGGTATATCGTCTTTTAGACTACCCGTTACCCTTGGATAAATGTGGGTTTCGGGGGTCAAACCTAAATGAAATCACGTCTATCATTTATCGTCTCCAAAAAAAGACAGAACCCACATTAAAAAAGACGTCACACCTCAGACGTTTTGTCTTTTAAAACACCTATTTCGGAAGAGCATGGGTCTGACCACACTATCCTTTCATATGCTGGGGGTCACAAAAACAGGTCAACTCTACTTCACCTGCCCAGTGTCCAGTCAACTCAGACATGTTTTTTTAACACAGATTACAGTTGAGCATGTTCTAACCACGTAGAGTTCGTGTGTTTCTGTAACCTCAGAATATGAAGGGATCGTGTGGTCAGAGCAATGCTCAGAAATCAGTGTTTCTTTGTGCAGTAACAAGCTTAAATCCAATTAAAATCCCGATTCTGGATATAAATCAGTTTTCAAAGAAATTTTTCGTTTCCGGTTAAATTTCAAGTTGAGGTGGTGATTTTGGTTTTGGATTCGATTTACAGCAAAAGACAACACTATCAACCTAGCACCCGTTGTATCTCTCCCTCAACGGGCCATTTATCTCGTATTATAGAATTAATGAATGTTTCAACTTTACAATTGGTGTGTCAATTTATTAGGCGTTGTATAATTTCATATCACTGGCACTGAAACGACAACAAGAACTTGAACATCTCAAGATTAACATATTGCGGTGGATGATAATCAGGGTTTTCTATTCCAATGGACATTTCCCACAAATCTAAGAACACGACTTTATCTTCTAAGCCTTTGAACCTTTCTCGTATTATATGGATATACTGGGGTCCTAAAGGATCTCCTCCAACTGCATGGTTGTAATCGTAAAATAAAGGAGAGATATGAGGAGCTCTAAGTCCTATCAAGACGTTGGGGTTTTCTTCAAGCAGTTTTTCTATGGCGGCTCTCAGAGATTTCATACGTAACGACAACACAGCAAGATGGGCAGCCGCGTAGTGGAGGTAATACTGAATGATGAGAATATGTTTCTGGTTTTTTGGAAGCTTCTGTATAAAATTAGGTACCGAGAAATTGTCATTTCTTTGTAAGGTTATATACACAGGTCCTTCGTGGCATAGTACATTTATAGAGAGTCCAGTCTCAGACTTGGTGCATTTGGCTCTAGGGTATAGGTCTTTTGTTTTGTTACATTTTGTTAGCTCTAGAATCACATCATACGTTAACCTGGCATTTGAGTCCCCGAAGATCCAGACGGATGTGTTTCTGAGGCATTTTAATGTCCAGTCTGTATTGATGACCCCTACGTCCTTACAGACCAGAGACTTCCAGATATTGCCAGGTGTCCAGATGCCTTTAGGCATCGCTGTTCTCCAGGTGACATTTTTGTTTGACATGTGACAGGGGGGTAACTCTGGAAGATTTTCTGTAAAAAAACAGTAAAACACTGTCAACATCGACGCCAATTCTTTGTAATATAGTCATGCAAATGTTTTTATTTATTAATCTAATATCATCATTTCTATGATTACCACATTGCATAGAGATTATGAAAGTATATTTAGATGCATAAACATAAAATTACCTGCAATTACAGTATTTATTTTTAAACTGTGGGAAACTGCCCTCTGTGATGGTTTGCTGTGGAAAAAGTTTTACTCGTGAAAGTAGGAAGTTGACATTTTTCAATAATGCAAAGCTTAGTTCGTGGCACCTAAAGGTTAGAACAAATGTTCTTAACTTGGGTTCATTGAGAAAACTGAACAAACAGAATAACTCGCAAGTAGATCTACAAACTAAGAATCTAATACACTTTAATTTTGTCGCATTTTTGCTGGAAAGTTGATTTATTATGCTAAATGTACATATAGTCATTCATTGTTAATTTATAAAAATGCTCGAATTAGGAAAACAAAAATGTCCTAGCCAGTGGCGTAACTAGGTTTTTCGGGCCCCTATGCCAAAATTATCAGTGGACCCCTTTGTCAGCCGTTAGGCCACAAAAGAATGTTTATCTGTATTGTAATAAATACTATCGTACAGGTCTGCGTTGCTGCAATCTAGGCCCACATACCAGGGTAACGAAAAAAAATTGTAATGGTTTTATCAACGCGTTACCAATTGTGTATTTTTAGTCATATGACGTTGATTTCTAAAACTGAGATAAATAAAAATATAAATAACGCCACAGGTTAATCATCCTTCGTCGCGCGAGTGAAGGGTTACACTACCATTTTAATCATCGAACATAGAGGCCCACCTTCGATATAGTAATCAATTTTAGTAGCCCTCTGCATCACTCATGGATGGCGCTCATTAAAACGAATATAGGCTTCAAAGGCCTCATGGAGGAAAAACTTTAATGGAAGCGCTGTTTTGATTAAAGATTACTTACATCAACATATGAAATGTAATTAAGGTAAATATTAGTAGATCAACGTTGAAAATATTCAACTTTGCTTTTTGTGAAAACACTGTCCATGCTTGTTATTTTTTTAATGGCACAATTGTTACCATGTATGTTTAGTACGATGGAATTTCAGGGACAGCAGCGAGTTGGGAAGGGGGTGCAGGTTTGTAGGGTAGGGTAGGAAATTTTCCAGTAAGTTGAGGTTTGTAGCTTCTTTTTCTTCTTCTTCAATCTTAATTTTTAGTGTTGGAACGGATCAAGAATTATCTGCCATAGGGTTTGAACCCGAGGATTTTTTCGAACTCATCAAACATGAGCTTTTTTGCTGACTCGACCACGCCTCCATCACAATTAAGGATACGTGTCACCTGGTTATGCGCCATTGAGGTCATTGACTCCGATTTCAGCCTGCTTCCATAGCCTTTGTCCAACCAAGAACAAACTACAAGGCAGCATTTGTTTGTTTTTGGAGTTGTCTCTCCTAGAAGAGTGGCTGTTGCCAGCAAACGAGCCTCATCTGCCCGAGGGTTCGAACTCGAGACTTTTCGGTTTAGCATCCATTAGTTTAACCGACTCGACCACGCCGACCCCTAGGTTTGTAGCAATGCATGTAAGTTTACGGGTGTCTGATGCCAATCTCACTGAAGAGTCGAAGTTCAATTTTATTTATAGGCCAATTCTCTCAAAGGCTTGTACGACAATGCGACAACGCATATAGTGTTTTTATTACAGATGAACCCGGTTTGACACCTCCCCACCCCCCAAACACACACGCACAAACACACTGTGCAGCAAGAAATGTTTGGGGGGCCTTTTGTAACTTTAATTATTTCTAAAGATATTTACATGTAACAAATATCAGAATTTCAATGTAAAAGTTTTAATTTTTTAAATATGGAAAAGAACCCGTGCGTGCCCCTATGTGCCTTGGGCCCTTATGCTTTGCTCACGCTAGCTTTACGGTAGCCACGCTACTGGCCCTAGCTCGCTTATATGTAAGTATTTTTCATTTTCGCGGTTTTTCTTTTCCGCATTTTCTGCGATTCATTTTAAATAATTTTATCAAGGCTTTTAGTTTGAGTTTGCTGAAACATCAACTAAACAGAAACGTCTTTTATGAGAAGCTCCTGTCCATTGTTGCTGATATACAATTCGTGAGCACACCGAAAAAAATGAAATAGAAAATAATTCAGAAACTCAATATTTTAATAATTTTTTTAATATTGTAAAATTTACGCCTTAGAACATGAAAATGTATTTCTTTTCTGCTTTAACAATTAACATTAACTTAACCTTCTGACTATAAACCGCTGGTCGACCCAAAGATATTTCAAAATAGTTGTCTACAAAGCAAACAATCGTATACCTGCTTATGGACTTGATAAGGCTCCTTTCAGCGCTTATGACGTCATGGGGAAGTGGTACATCTAAAAATCCTGTTTCAATCCAATCTTCACATTTAAGTCTGTTGATCATACATACAACATTTTTTTATTTATGTATTTATTTATTTATGTATTTATTTACTTATGTATTTACTTTATGCTTTTATTTATGTATTTATTTATGTTTTTATTTATATTTGTATTTATGTTTTTATTTATGTATTTATTTATGTATTTATTTATGTATTTTTTATGTATTTAATTATGTATTTATGTATGTATTTATTTATGTATTTATTTATTCCTCCCTCACTCAGTCCCATCTTCCTTCTTTCCTTTCCTTCCCTTTCCTTTTCTTTTCTTTCCTGTTCTTTCCTTTCCATTTCTTTCCTTTCCATTCAGTTCCATTCCATTCCATTCCATTCTATTCCATTCCATTCCATTCCATTCATTTCCATTCCATTCCATTCCATTCCACTCCGTTCCGTTCCGTTCCATTCCATTCCTTTCCATTCCATTCCTTTCCTTTCCATTCCATTAATTTCCTTTCCATTCCTTTCCTTTCCATTCCATTCCATTCCTTTCCTTTCCTTCCTTCCTTCCTTCCTTCCTTCCTTCCTTCCTTCCTTCC